CTTTTTTTTCTCGCTTTGCTTCCGTGGTTCAGACTGTTGTACGTCCTTTGGAAGTGCGAGTACTTGCGTTTGGTCTGTACTGTTCTCTGTGTTTGTGCTGTGTTCATGCTACTCTCTTTCTCTCTGTCGTTGCGCTTGGCCTCCGTATACTACTGACCATTACACCTAGATGTCCAAAATTTGGTGAGCTCATGGAACAAGCCGAGAAAGAAGCTATTTTGTCCGTCCTCATTTTCCAAACAAATTTTTCCGGCCTTTAGGATGCCCAAAAATTTGAGAGACCGAGCACTCAGGTTTTAAGTGTAATGGACTTTGATGTATTACTGTAATTAGGCATGGGTGTGGCACACTTGCTCTATTGTGCCACCTGACCTTTTTTAAAATAACTTGCATTTTTGTTCCCCTAAACTACTTGAAACTCATAAAGTTTTGCACATGCACCAGACATACATTTTATTATTCCAAAGGCTTTGCACGTAGACTTTGCAAAATGGCTGTATTGCGCCTCCTTGAAAATTTCAATAAAGCATATCGGAAGTAACACTTGTGTGCAAACAGCAGGTAATTTACATGCAATTTTCATGCTTTTGTCCACATTCATTGAGAAGCAACATAAGGAGTATTTAGTAGTTCTGTATCACCCAGAGTGGACACAGGTAATGCACGTACTTCATACAGGCAATGACATTTTACACAGTCCTGCAGTGTCCATTTGTTGCTAATGCATACCCACACCCGTTGAGATCCTGCCACCATCCCCCACCTGCATAAGGATGCGAGGGCTTGTTCAACACTGTTTCCAGCTTTAAAGGGGACCTATTATGCTGATCCTTCTTTTAATACACATTAGTAATGTTATAATGTTGGTTGTCCATGCTCAACCTCTGAAAAGTTTCTAAACATAAGATACAGGGGTTTTGCCGTAATCCAAGAACGTGATTTCGTGAGCGTGATTTCCTCTCTGAACAGCTCCTCCCGAGATCTTCACGAGATCTGGGTAAAACCTGACGTCAGGTTGTGCCATCCAATTAGTACAGACCTAGCCAGAGCCAATCATGGCGCTGGACCTGCCCACACCGGAAACTATTCTAGCAGGCACTAACAACGGCAGATCATACTATGCCTTAGTAGCATCTTCACTTTTGGAAATACGAAAGAAGAACCGCAGATCATTTGAGGTGCAATTTTGTCAGTATCTCTCCCAAAGCTGCTTGTCCGTTTACTTTTGGACGCGAAGAAAAACAATGATTTTTCTTCCAAAAGACGATGCCACCAGAAATCAGTGGGTAGCTTTTTTTGTTTGCTGGCAGCAAAAAGCCACGGCCAAAGGGAACGTTAGCTGATTGTGCTCAGCATTTCACCAAAGACAGCTTTATCAATAAAGGATAATTCAGCACAGGATAAGCGTTTCAGCTGCTTCTCAAACCTGAAGCAGCTGCATCGATCAAGCGCTCGGAGCCACACGCTATAAGTAACGATATAACAGCAAATAATGTAAGTGAAGCTAACGTGTTACGGGTGGCTAGCAGGGCCGCTAGCGATAGTTAGCACTAACAACTGGCCTCAAACGCAGGCTTGGTAAAATATCTGAAGATAAAGCCTGTATCGGTCGCGACTGTCCATGACTCACAGACAAAGAAGCTGTAAGTTGCTTTTACTGCATAAGCCGACCTGACGTGATAGCCAGTTGATTGTGGCTGTAGCACAGCGGCTAACGTAGCCAAGTTACTGTTGTTAACGTTTGTGATATCAGGGGAAATTCTACAGAAGGTGTGTGAACATAAACCTCATTTGAAGCTAACTTTTGATACTTGTTTGTAATTTGGATGCTTGGTACAACTGTTCACAGTAACAGAACTTGCTGTCTGTAAAACCTGGATTGCAAGGGTTTGTCTCTGTGGTTATGACCGCTCGGTTACCAGCTACGGCATGTTAGTTTGCGTGTCGTGCTAATTAAAAATGCTCCTGGTTAACTTATACGCAGTAATTCTGATCGGTATGCTTGTGTTACTTTGGTAAGCATCAATGTGGCAGTTTCATCATAACGTTGCCCGATTGTAGCCTCTACAGTTAGTGATCGCTTCACTTATCCATGACCGGGATCGGCAGGATACTTCACAAATGTCTGAGCAAGCTCTCTGGTGCTACCATGAAAGCAATGCGAAACGCAGAAGCTCTACCGGTTTACAAATGATTTCTCTGCACTACCTTTACATAATTTCATCCCCCTTTAGAAATGGTTGTGGCTAATACAAAGCCGAAAAAGGCGGAGATTAAATAGGTAATTCTTTCCTGTAGAAGTGATCGATTGGCTAGCTCCACATAAGCAACTTGTCCGCGCTAACGGAACGTACGGTTTGCAAAACCTGTATCATGTTCATAACATAACCGAGCTCGACTGTATTATGTTCATAACATAACCAAGCTCTCTCTAGCTGTCGCGTACTATCCATAAAGCTGCTTTCACATCGGACACGAAACGAATTTTTCGCGCGACAGATTACATTCAAAATCATGACCGCTTATTAGCTACTGCATGTTAGTTCCCCTGCTCTGCTAATTAAAAACGCTCCTGGTTAACTTATATGCAGCGATTCTGATCGGTATGCTTGTGTTACTTCCGTAAGCATCAAGGTGACAGTTTCATCATAACGTTGCCTGATTGTAGCCACTACAGTTGAAGCTAACCGGAGAGGTGCTGTATGTGTCTGCCGAGTTGGGCTGCAGTTAGACCAGACGTAGGTTTTGCAAAGCTTGGGGTGAGTTTTTAGGTGCTTGTGAAACGATCGCTTTACTTATCCATGACCGGGGTCAGCCTGATACATCCCCAATGTCTGAGCAAGCTCTCTGATGCTACCGGTGAAAGCAATAGGGAAAAGCACAGGCTATAACGTGTATGGTATCACAAACGATTTCTCTGCATTGCTGTGGATTGAATATTAAATCGGCGACTGAATATTAAATTATTTCCTGTAAAAGTGATCGATTCGCTAGCTCCACATAAGCAACGGTTCCGCGAGACGGAACTTACGGTCTGTAAAACCTGTATTATGCTCATAACATAACCGGAGCTCTAGCTTGCTCTCGCGCACAATCCATAACGCCCATTCTCCGCGAGGAAACGCTTGTCATTCCGACGCAGTAAGTAAACCATTACCACGGGCAATTTCCGAAAAGGCCGTTTAGCTTGGAGCTTCCGCCCCTCCGTCATATACCAGCGCAGAAGCTGTTCGTTGCTCCACGCTAACAACACACCGCAGCTATGCACACGAACCAGCAGGTCCTAATACACACCGAAGCAGTCCATAAGCTGTTGGTCCACTTTTAGCTGCTCCTCACTGTCCATGTTTCCCTCTAAACTCAAACCCACCGGATTTCTACGGTCTCCAGTCTACACTTGGGCATGTTGACCCGTTCTACAAATGCGTCTATATGGGGTGGATTCTAGCTTCCCCTGCATCCTAGCTAGGAGTAGAAAAACCGCGGTACTCACCAACTGTTGCCGTAGCAAACTGTAGCCGATAGCAAATTTGAGCTTGCGCTGACAGATATTCGCACTGCGTCCTCCACTTTCGCCGCTGTGTTTGTTAGAACAAGATCATGTCATTAGATCTATATTCAAGTATAACGTTAGATTGCAGAATTTGCCCGCCGCTTCCTTATCAGATTGCAGACGTGTCTCAGGTTTCACTCTGGGGAGCCGGACATTGAAAACTGCGTTCTGCAGCCTCATCCCGCCCAACTCCGCCCTCCACAGAGCTGGCCAGTCAGAAGAAAGTGGGTACACGGGGAGTGGGGGCCATAGCGGAAGAGCCACCCCAGTGAGGCGTTTCAGGCAGAGACTACAATGTACTACAAATGCAGTTTTTTGAGGATGGCAGTATGAGCGAAATAAATACCCTTTTTTACTTTGCGCGATCAGGAGTACTCTAGGGGGGTCAAAGACCAAAATATAAACTTGGAAAAATAGCAAGATAGGTCCCCTTTAAAGTACGAAGCCTGGAAATGGCAAAAAATTTTAAAAAAGTATCAATTTCGATTCAAAATGGCAAATTTCCTGTTTGGTTGAGTCCATGGCACTAAGACACTTGACACTAAGTCTTGGAATGTTTCATGCGTCCACCAAAACCGGCTGCGAAAGCTGCTCAGTTCAAAATTTTCTAGAGCCATATTACCGCACTCCTGTGCAAAACCTGTACAGTAGTAACTTTTATGCCAGAATTAATGCCCGTGCAAAATGTTGAGTTTTTAAGCATATTTTGGCCCTCAAAGCAATTCATTTGAAAAAAGGATTGAGGTTTGCTATAGACCCATGCCCAGGCCCAATTGTGATATCAAATTGAAAAGCATTACCCAAATGACCTCTTTGCATCCTATGGCCCTCAAAGGTGTGTTCATAAAAGTTGAAAAACTGCAGGAAATAGTTCATAGCTCACTTCCTGTGGGGCAAAATTTTTTAAAAAAAATGTGCAGAAAACTTCATGATGGATCCAATGATCCCACCAAATTTAGTGAAAATCTGAGCTCCTTGATCCCAAAATGGTCACACAATCAATAACTACAGTTTTTCGCCATTTCAGGCATGCCTGAAGTGTTTGCAAATTTTCGTGAGTTTTTGAGCATGGCAAGGCCCTCAAAAATGTGTTCTCACCGCAGAATAGTGCAAAAAATAAAAATAAGAAATAAAAATGATTAAATAAACCCCAACATGCAAATGCCAAATCAAGCCAATCCTTGCCTGTTGTGCATTAACCTGTTTAAGGCTTCATAACTTTTTTTTGTAACTATGGTTTATTTGCATGAAATTTTCACGCTTAGGTCTTCAAATGGTAAATGGACTGCTTTTATGTAGTGCTTTTCTAGTCATCTGACACAAAGCACTTTACAATTATGTCTAACATTCACCCTGATGGCAGAGGCTGCCATGCACGGCGCTAACCTGCACATCAGAAGCAGTGCGGGGTTCAGTGTCTTGTTCAAGGACAGTTCAACATGCTCTGTGGAGAAGCCAGGGATTGAACCAGGAACCTTCTGATTTCCAGACACCCACTCAACCACCTGAGCCATGCTTCCCCACTTCACCTGATGTAAAGCAAAAGATGTATATTTAGGGGCTCTGTAGCACCCATAGTGGACACAGAGGGCTCTAAATTCGTTGACCAGGCGCAGGCGCGGTGAATGGGGGGAGCGCCGCGCCAACGGGGTGTATCCAGGCATATTTTGCAATTTCGTGCCCGGCGCAAGTACTCCTCTGTCCCGTCTCTGTCCCTCCTGCTGGCGCAAGTGGCAAAGAGGGAGGAGAGAAGGCGTGAGTGGGTTTAACACAACCAAGTCAAATCTTCGCCAATCAAATGAGCTCCTCTCCTCACCTTTAAGATGTTGGAATAGAGAAGCCTGTGTCCTATATCTGCATGATGCATTAATGTTGCATTTTACTTTGCTGCTTCAGGCATGTTTTCTGCACCGCTTATATCTAAATTAAGCATTATGAATATGAGTTAGCTGGCTAGCTGGGGCATTCGCAAATTATTACCATTAGCGAACTTGAATGGAATTTCAAAATGAAACTACGTCAGATCATCCAAACTTATGAAGTTGGAATGAAATACGACGGTTGCTGATTTATTTCTTCTGCCTGCATCATTGGGAAGAGAAACGATGGATAGTGTGTTCCTATTATTACACCCTGTTGCTGCTTAAAATTTTGGGATTAACATGCATGGACAACAATGCAAGATAAGTTACACATTTATTTTCAATTTGAGATCTTAAAGTGGCAATCCGTAAGATTTGAATTGGTTTGCTTATATTGACATCTTTGGCAGTAAGCTGTAATTGCAGGTGCCCTTCTGGACCACATTTGCCATAACTCTTGTCGAGACTCAACAGTGTCGCCTGTATGACGTCGGTAAATTGACGGCTCTTACCAGTTCCACGCCTCCTCAACTCTCATGCAGACGAGAAAGATGTTCTTTGACACGGCAATTGAACTCAATATAAGTAAAAATTATGTGACATTAGTCATCCATTAGTGTCATCTCATTCCAGTAACATGTTAGGCTATTATGATAAATCGATTAACTTAAAGGGCTGCCAACTCGCAAGCATTCACCGTGAGAATTTGTGCTTCATTCACGTTCCCGTGCTGTAGTCAGCAATTATTCAATCAACGAAATGCGTGTGTTTCACGATTGTTCAAATAGTTTAAATGAAATAAGACCATTTGAAACATTTTTGTGCAATTCCACTGCTTCCAACCCCTGAGTGAAGAAAAGCGAGAGAATTCCGGAATCATAATTGTTCTCATATTACTAGTGGCGAAATCCACCGTAACGCATGTGAAACTGATAAACTTCAATGCACAAGGACTTCAATTCCACCTGAGAATCTCTACAAACGGTCTGATAAAATAATTTCTGACTACAGCACGGGAACGTGAATACGTCATTTAAACTCAAGCCGAATATGTGAAAGTTGATAGCCCTGTGTAAATAATGAAAACGGTAGTTGGTTAACAGGTAACGTTATAACTTTTTTTTTTTAATAAAAATAATTTGTCGAGGCGGTTAGCGTAGCTTTTTTCCAGTTTGCTTCCTGAAATTACGTTATAATTTTAGTTTCAGTAGTAGCCTTAACAGAGACTCAGCTAACGTTAGTTTCTACTGTGCACAGTACAGCTACTCAGTATGGTATTTGCCATTGCCATTGGGTAGATGTCAGAAGGGATCCAGTAGCGGTACTTTCAGCTTCTTGGAAGGCTGCATTTTTAACGGTCCTCCCTAAATTCCATCCATAAAAAAACTGACATATAGTGTAAGGGGCAAGTTAGATTTAGGGTTAGGGGATAGAGCCAAGGTTCAGGTTAGGGAAAGTACCGCTACTCGATCCCTTCTGACGTCTACCTTGCCATTGCTAGTCCCGGGGTTCCTTACTGCCTTCAAGCTAGTTTGCGGCTCCTCCTACCTTCTGGACAGACCAAACACTGCTTACTGACGTAAAAAGCGTCACCAGATTTGCGCCTGTATTTGAATATAGCGCGGGAATGTCGCCACAGACACACTAATCGCTTTACCTGGCAAAGAATGAAATAAAAGTGCTTTCATCAGTAGGTCATAAGCCCAATCACCGTTGATTTATCCCCCCTCTCTGATAGACACAGACTTAACAGACAGTAACAAGACGGAAATCTTACGGATTACCACTTTTACTCAGTACGAGATCATAGCAATCAGGCTGTATTCCTTTCCCCCACTAAAAACACTAAAACCTAAGTGACAATAATAGTGGTATTAAGCCGCTTGCACACTGGACACGAAACAAATTTTTCGCACGACAGATTACAGTCAAAGTCAATGCAAAGACGTAAATACACACGTGTATTCGCGTCTTTGCATTGACTTTGAATGTAGTCAGTCACGCGAAAAATTCGTTTCGAGTCCAGTGTGTAAGCGGCTTTACTGAGCATAGAAGGCAAGCATTACATATATATATATATATATATATATATATATATATATATATATATATATATATATATATATATAGGCACTGCCTGATGCCGAGGCAGTTTGTGGTTGGCTGAGAAAGACGTGAAGTCGTTAGTTTGCATCACAAATTCAGCTGCGTTTATTAAGCCAGGTCGAGTTTCCATTACGCGTGCCAACCGCCTTTGATCTGACATCAGGACAATCGATATAGATACTATAATTTATGTGCTGATTCAGATAGTTTCATTAAATAGTGGCTGCTGTAATAATTTATTGCACTGAAATGTGCCTGACATTCTGGAAACCTGCCTGTGAGGTTTCGGTGACGTGTGCGCACTGTGCGCTGGTCAGCCAAATTACCACTGCACAGAAAGTAAACCAGGTCGGAGCTGGCGAACTCTCTGCGCACTTTCAGAGGAGCCTTTATCCATGAAATTGTCACTGCATCATGATTAATATGTGACACCTCCCACTACTGCGCCGCCACACCCATCTCGGCGCACGTCCGTGTGGCTGCGCACGGTGTTGCACCACACAAAATTACCACTGCGCGGGCTGCACCAGACAAAATTACCACTGTGTGGGCTGTGCCACACTGCACCACCCTGTGCTGCACCAAGAAATTAGAGCCCAGAAAGTGCACACACTCCAGGCAGGAAATACCATGTCACATCGTCTTGCAGTGTCAGATCGCTGAGAAGTGCACAACTGCACCCTTGGGGATGTCGCCACCTCCATGTTGTTCCCTTCACACGGGTCATGAGTCAAATTCCACTGTCTAAAATGCAGCTTTGGAAACTTTTTTAAGAAATACAAATCCCATAAGCAATTTCAACTTTGTCTCAGGTATTTCAGTGAATCACAATGTATTTCATCTGTCAAGTTTCTTGAAAGTCATGATATCATCAAAAACATGCATACGTTCTGGTCTTAAAGGGAGAATCACGCAAATGTTGCACCAAGCCTAAAAGGCATACACATATACAGTTCTGCATCTGGTCTTATTGGATTTTGATAAATGACTACCAGAACTACTTTATATTTCTTGGACTTTTTCCTAATCGGTAGATCAAATATTTCCCTTCTTGGTTTTTATTATTACTAAGGTGCAGCACACTTTGTTGTGATTAGTGTAAGTTTTAGTGATCGTTCTTTGACAGTTGATCCAAGCAGTTGTTAAATCCCATGAAGGATATTTTACACTTACATCGAACTTTTGGTGACCGCTTGGCTTCAGAAAATATGGGAAAATGCTTCAGATTAAACATGGCAAGGTGTACTCTGACATTAGATTTCGAACGTCTCCATAAAAGAAAAGATTTACTTCAATACATCCATCAATAAATGCAAATTATCAGGTAGTGCAGATAATCTGTGCAGGTATTTTTTCAATGAGGACAGTTTTAAGTTGTGTGCAAAAAAAAAAAAAAAAAAATTGCCCCAACTAGAAGTAAAATCACTGAAATGCATAAAAACTTAAAACTTGCCATGAAATTCCAGAAAGTGGGACTCCATAAATCGGGGATGGGGAACCTTTTCCAGAAAGGGCCGGTGTGGTTGCAGGCTTTCATTCCAACCAGGTAATTACACACCTGATTCTACTAATCAAGGTCCTTCGCAAAGATCCCAGAGGTTGATTAATAGAATCAGGTGTGTAGCTTCTTGGTTGGAATGAAAGCCTGCACCCACACCAGCCCTTTCTGGATAAGACTCCCCCATAGGCGGCCTTACCTATGTTTCAACCATTTCAGTTGAAACGGGCCCCGCCCTCCAGGCGGCCTCCAACTGCCAGGCCAGAATTAATATCCTAAACCTTGACTGTATGAAAACATGCAGAGGCGCACCGCTGGGGAGGCAAACAGGGCAAGTATTTGAGTCCCCCCAAAACAGCAAATGTTTGGGATCATTTGGGATCCCTGATAGCCATTCAAATTGGCACATTTTGTAATGACTTCAAAAAACCGCATTAAGCCATCCATGAAGGCATTATAGCGCACCCCCGGCCGATACTCCCTCTCGGAGTTGTGGCGAATGGGGAGAATACACGGTTTTTCGTGGTCGGAGTTGCTGGTTTTCTCCGTCAGATATATTCGTTGCATGAAGACTGAGCTAGCTAAAAAGTGTAGTAATTATTCATTGTCGACAAATGATGGTAGCTAAAGAGCTATGGCAGCTGATACTCTGAAAATTTCGGAAATACAGTCATCACCTTAGCCAATGTTGCTAGCGCCTCGGACTTATCAATTGGTATGTGAACAAAAAAAAATTAAAAAAGTAATTTGCTTGCTCCATTCCGGAGGTGTTTCATAATTAATATAATAGTGAGCTTTGATGTAAACATTTTAAAGCATAATATAGCAATGTTATGCGTTTTTTACGCACTAAATTATCAGTGAAAATTATTTATGATTTTGTGCCAGGTCACAGTCCAGATAGTTTCTGATCAATAAGATGCATTGATAATTTGCAAAATTTAAGTAGCAAAATTAAAGAACTCGTCTACTTGGCTTTTATTGGTGCCTGATCAGTAGCCTATTTGATAGAAATTGGGCAGCTTGAAAACAAGTGTATGCATCCAGCCTTTCATT